TTTTTTCTTAGTTTGATTCATTGACTTGAAGTTATTTCATAGAACAAATTTTTAAAAAATCCGATCATTGGCAATGTTTCCAGTCTAGGTAAAGTGACCAAGAAGTTTTGACATCTAATATGCCCATTCATGCTAAGAAAATCTTACACAGTCTAAATGGAATCCCCTTTTCTTTTGAGTGAAGTAAAGATTTTAGATCCTGGAATTACTCTAGAGACTTTAAGGTTAAAGACATTAATTGGAACTCTTTTTCACGTAAGAATATTTCCAGATTGTTTTCTTTTTGCTTCAGCAGAAAGAGGAGATTCAACATTAAGATTAAGTTATACTAGCTGCAAAAATAAACAAAAAAGCCTTCCCACTTTTCCATCTTTGAATATTTATTTTGATCAGCACTCATTCGGCGGCAACTTATAATGTACCAGGTGTTGGGGATATAATGACACATAAGACAGCTTCAGTAAGTGGCATAATTAAATCAACCGTTTATTTAAGTGTGCTGTAGAAAATATCACAAAAATACAGATAAAATGCAATAAAAGCAAGGCTGGAAACACATTCTAAAGGGGTAATGAATCATAGACATAAAAACTGTATAATTTTTATAGAAAATGTTTCCTTTCTGTTTGAAGTTACACTATTTTTATTTTTAACAAGACATGGACCATCATTTATGCATTTAAAAATACATCCCAATATACGAATCAAGCATTATTTGGATGACCTAAAGGACTAAAAAACCAATTATCATTCAATGAAACTTAGCTCTAGAAAACAATAGACATGGCTGAGAAATCTGGAAAAACAAAGCTGGTGGATTTGAGTAATAGCCATCCTGTACTAAGACTAAGTTTTATTTGAGGATAGGAAAGATATATTGAACATTGGACCAAAAGAACTAAAAACTAAAATAATAATTTTTTTTTAAAAAAACTTGAGGTCCAAACCAAATGGAGTTGAAATAAGTGCAATTTCAGTTTCATTCATTGGCTTATCTGAAATAGTTACTGAACATCTATTATGTGACAGCGCCACGCTTTTCCATGCTAAAATTGTCTGGTGATGGAGGAAATGCCATATACCGTAGTGATCCAACATGCTCAGTGTTAGGCTGGGGGAAATACGGGGTTAAACGAGAGCCCAAAAGCACAGCACCTCACCCAAATTTGATGGGAGAATGGGTTACAGTCTTTTTGGAAAAAAAAAATTCTACTGTAAGTGGAGACCCAAAGGATAAAAAGAGATTGGAGTGGGTGTTTCTGAGGAAGGAAATGGGATGTGTGAAAAGCCAGAGACATGAGAGAATACGGTACTTCTGAGAACCTGAAAGTTGTTCCGAGTGGCTGAGAATAGATCGTGGCTGAATGGGGAGGGACAATGAGGTCTCATTGATGAGAATAGCATGATCCAGGCTTGCAAGCCTGTTTCCTTCAAGAGCAATGGGGAACCAAAGAAAGATTTCAAACAAGGAAATAATGTGATCAGAGAGACATTTTGGGAAAAGAACACTTTAGCAGCATTATGGAAAAGAGCTTGGAAGGAAAAAGGTTGGAGCTAGGGGAACCCTATTTGAGTCTGCAGAATTGCACAGGAGAGGGAGAATGAAGGCCAGGCCCTCTTTAGTGGATCCTCTGTTTTGTCATCCAAAGAACTTGGAATCCCACATTGATTTCCTTCATCACACATAATGTATGATTGTATATGTGTAAGTATGATTGTCAGAGGCAGAGGTCATTGATACTTGTTTATATGAATAAGTATGATTGTCAGAGGCAGAGGTCATTGGTATATGTTTCTAGAAACTCTCATGACTCTTAAAGCGTTTCTCATTTCCTTATTAAGAAAAATGCCAATTCACTCTAGTGACTGTTTCTTTTGCCGTGCAGAAGCTGTGGAGTTTGATTAGGTCCCATTTGTCTATTTTGGCTTTTGTTGCCAATGCTTTTGGTATTTTGGTAGAAATGCCAATTGTGGGTGAAGAGGAGGAAGGCAGCAAAACACGTTGACATGTGTGTACCTGTGCAACTATCTTGCACGTTCTGCACATGTACCCCAAAACCTAAAATGCAATAAAAAGAAGAATTTGAAAAAAAAAAAAAAAAAAAGAAAAATGCCAAGAATAGTCCTTGTGAAACAGAGAAGAAAGCACCCTGTGCCTTTTCTGTTTAATACTTAGGCTCCGCACTGTTTTGAAAGAAAATGCCACTTTCTCTCTTTCCTTGCATGGTATTTCACTCTTTCTTTCTTTCTCTCTTTCTCTTTCTCTCTCTCTCCTTCCTTCCTTCCTTCCTTCCTTCCTTCCTTCCTTCCTTCCTTCCTTCCTTCCTTCCTTCCTTCCTTCCTTCCTTTCTTTTTCCTGAGACAGATTCTCACTCTGTCACCCCAGCTGGAGTGCAGTGGCATGATCTCGGCTAACTGCAACCTCGGCCTTTTAGGTTCAATCGATTCTTGCTTGATTCTCCTGCTTCAGTCTCCCACGTAGCTGGGATTGCAGGTATGTGCCACCACCCCCAGCTGATTTTTATATTTTTAGTAGAGACAGGGTTATGCCATTTTGGTCAGGCTGGCTTCAAACTCCCGGCCTCAAGTGATCTACCCACATCAGCCTCCCAAAATGTTGGGATTATAGGCAAGAGCCCCTGTGCCTGGGCTTTGTGTGGTATTTAAGACTCCCTAAAGGCACTGCAGGCACAGAAAGGAGTGTGGACCTAGGAAGCCATTCCCACTTAGGATGCATCTCACCAGCATTTCTTTTGGTTGTCATTTGGGGATAGGAACTATTTCCAAGCAAGTGTAAATCACTGGATTGAACTGCCTGTTAACATCATCACTACATATTGCTCAAGCGTCCCGGTAATTCCAGAGGCCCACAGTAGCAAGGCAACCACGCCACCCTCTCCACCCTTCATTCTCTATTCTGTGGGTTTTGAATTTGCTGGCCTCACAAACCACTTGAAGAGAAAGGAGAAAGGTCCAGATCTCAGCTACGCTACTCATCGGAAGTCACTTGCCTATTTTCAGTTTGAAGTCGCTGAAGTTTCTCCAAACAAAGTGACAGGACTAAATTATCCTAAATTCTTTCTAGCTGAAAATGATGGTTTTATGAGTCAGAAATTAGGACATCAGTGTTCCAGACTTGGAAGTACTACAGATACAGATATTAGAATCATGATTAAGAATGGTGACTACAGATACAGGATATTAGAATGATGATTAAGAAGAATGGTGATTTTAAAAGCTTATCAAATAGCTGCAGCTCCTGTTTCCTTGACAGGGAGAGTCTCTTTCCTGAGGGCCGCGTGCCAGACACCCTGCAGAGGCAGGAGCCCAGTTTGCCCAGCTCACCTTCCTAGGGCTACTCTGCAACTCCTCCAAAGCGCCCGCTAGGGTTTGGTGCCCGGCTTCTGGAAGCACATTGACCTTTACTCTGGAGTTGTGTCAGCAATGGACCAGTCTCCTTTCCTGGAGCGACTTGAGGAGCGTCATGGGCCTGAATGCATTTCTAGTGTGTTTGTGTTTCAGCCACAATCTTCAAAAATCAATTGTTCACCAATTGGACACGTCTGCCCAGGGCTAGGGTGCCCTTCCTCCAAGCTCCCACTTTGATTATTTTAAGAATTCTCCCAACTCAAATGAAAAATCCTAAAAATTTTAAAACGTTTAGGCCTTCTGAAGCTATCCAATCCTAAAATTAAATGTTGGGTATGTGAGTGCGAGTACACCAGGAAGGGTCTGGAAAGGACTCATAGCTCTTTCCAAAGGTGAATTGAGGAGAGTTTCATAAAGAGGTAGAAGTAGTGAGGTGGTGAGGAATCCATGAACGAGCCAGCAGGGAGCCGACGGCCCCTCTAAGGCTTCAGGACAGAGGCCACCCTGCAGAAACTGGATCTTGGGGGAGGAATGTAGCCTCTTTCAAGCCATGTCCTAGGGGAATAAATACCCAGAGCCCTCTTTCTCTCCTCTTCAGCCCTTTTGTTTACAACCAACACCTCTCTTCTGCTGAGCCCAGCCAGCAGCCAGAAAACCATGGTGTGGACGATGTAGTCCATAAATGCTGGGTCGGTCCTGCAGATCCTGGCCAAGCATTGGATGAAAGGAGTGCTCAGATAAAAGTATGCAGTGTAAGAGCAGCTACCTGGCACTACTGGCCAAAGAAGAGAGCAACCTCGAACAGCTGGAGCCAACATAATCTGTGGGTAATTGACATTATTGTTCCCCCTTTTAGGGAGCAGTCGCAGAAGATCAAGGGTCAGTTTCTGGACAACATAAGTAAACAAGCCTATTTAAGATAAATTCCTCTACACGTCCTTGTACCCATTCTTTGCCCTCTCTCTCAGGGTAAGAGAACAGCTGCCTTCAGCTTATTCTCCCCCAAAGCTATGCAGAGCCTTCCCACCTTTCAGAAGGCCTGCTCCTTTCCCTATGGCTTCTCCCACCACTCTGACCAACCTCCTACACAAAAACGTCAGCCTTCATGGAAACAGAAATGATGGAGAAGAGCAGAGATGATTTCCAGCAGAGATGGCTGCTGCAGGGAGAGCCTGTGGCATCAGATCTCTCCCAAGAGTAAACCAAATTCAGGGCTCCTGGGAGGTCCTCAAGGGCTGAGGCAAATTGGAAGAAACAGGCTTAGCTTCAGGGCCAAGGAATGGGTTGGAGAAGCCTACAGTGGGGAACCAGATGGCAAAGCTGGAGACCAGCTGGAACAACTGAAGAACAAAGAGAGAGAGGTAGACACGTGGCTGCCAGGGTCAGGGCAGGCCTCCAACCTGCCCCTGTGCTCCATGCTAGGACGGAAATCAAAGTTACCAAGCTTCGGTCCCAGGGCCTCTTTGAAACTGGTTTTAACACTAAGTAGAATATAGGGCCCCTGGCAGGCTTCTCCCAGGCAAACAATGACCATACAAAATACAAGGCCATTCGTGATGTAAAAGTGAGTATATATTTTCACAGACCACAGAGTATAATAAACACAGAAACTTATTTTGAAAAATGTTTACCTCTGCCAGGTGCAGTGGCTCACACCTGTAATCTTGGCAACATGGGAGGCTGAGGCAGGAGGATCACTTGAGCTCAGGAGTTGGAGGCTGCTGTGTGCTACAGTTGTGCCACTGCACTCCAGACTGGGTGACAGAGAGAGACTCCAAGTCTAGGGGAGGAAAAAAAGGTTTAACTTAATCATTTCTAGGTAAAGGCAATGCTTTTCAGATTTAAAATTCTGTCATTTCAGATTTTCTGTCATTTCAAATTTTGTCTTTCAGATTTGAGAAGCAGATTTGTCTCCTCTTTTCTCTCCAAGTAGCATCTAAGTTTCTGAGGGAGGATAGAGCAACATGAAATCTGGGAGGCTTCCCCTGGGCACTTTGGAGATAATCTGGGCATGGCTGTCATCGATGGAAACATGCAGGGACATCTGGTCCCTGGGTGTGGACACACTGGCTCTTGGTAAGTTGTTTAAGGCCTGACCCTTGCTAGGCCCTTTCCATTCTCTGTTCCGTGGATGGCATTTAGGGTTTTCCCAAGCAGGGTGTGCAGACTTTGTCATCCAGTTTGTCTCCCGTACCATTATCCAGAGTGTTTCTCTACGACTTGCTGTGTTTTATGTCAATCAGATGTGAAATGAAGCCAAGTTAACCTCTATTGTTCAGTCCCTACACTTAATAACACAGGGTCCTGTCATCCACCCCTTCCACTCTACCATAAACTCGCACTAGCTTCCCAGTGACAGAGGCTCTTTCCTAGCATATGGAGAATAGATGTAATGATAGAGCCATGAGAACTCACTCAGAAAAAACTCACTCACCAAATCTTCATTCTAACATCTAGACTGCAGCTTTCTTAAGGTTAAAAGCCAGAAATTAGACATGGTTGTTTTTCATTTGATCCACACAGTAAACAGAGGGGGTGATCAAGTTGAAGGCTGGTTACACGGAATGTATGTAGTCATCCCCCAACACCCTGGGCAGATGCTCGAAACCACTGATAGCACCTAACCCTATATAAACCATGTATTTTCCATCTGTCAACAAATTGACTAAGTGACTACATGGGAGGTAGCAGAGACAGCATAGATATGCTGGACAAAGGGATGATTCACATCCCGGGCTGGACTGGGCAGGATGGCAGAAGATTTCATCGTGCTATTTGGAATGGCACAAAATTTAATATGAATACATGGTTTATTTCTGGAATTTTCCATTAATATTTTCAGACTGCTGTTGACCATGGGTAACTGAAATCATGCAAAGAGAAACTACAGATAAGGGGGGACCACTCTATGTGTTGGGGAAACACATATATAACACATGACATGGTACAGTGGATACAATTGGTTTTAAAATTTTTAATGCTCTATTTTTCAACTTTCACATTCTGGTATTTTGTGTTCCTCTGATTTCTCTATAGCCTTATTTTTGAAATATATTTTCAGAAAATAATCTGATAAATACAACCCTACTAAAGTTCAAATGACTTGCAACACTTACACATTGTTCTTTCTATATGTAATTTGATTTGAAGCAAGAAAATTCTGAGACAAAGGAGTAATTTTTTCTAAACTTCTCAGCATCAGTAAGTGAGACAGATAATGAGGTTTTGGAATTAAGGGAGAAGTTGTCCTCAATCATACCATCTAGATCATTACTTGTTTTGCATTATATTTGCTGATATTTTTAGATTCCAGAATGAACTCAAATAGGTAATTTTAAAGAAAAGTTTGACCTGTATCGTAACTTTATTTTCATCAAATCACTCATATGACAAGAATACAAAATCCTGAAAATTAATTCAAATTTTCTAAAAGAATTGAAAGTGTTTATATATACTCTAATATATATTCTTCAAATATATAAACGTTTAATATGCTATACAGATATACATATGTATATACATCTTATGCAAATGTAGACTTTTAGCAAAAGTATAGCTGTATATAAAATGTATGTATATATTACATGTTATAGATATATACATGAATATATGTGTATAATATATTGTACAGAATACATTGCATATACATGTATATATACAATACATAATACATTATACATTAGGTATATAAAATATATATACACAAATATGTATTTACCAATACAAGTTATTGAAGGATATTGGATTTAAGAACATTAAAGCAAACATGTCATCCTAAATATCTGCCAAACAGGAGGATCTAGGGAACTGACAAACTCTTTTAGTGAAAGACGAAATAGTAAATATTTTCACCTATGAGAGCTGTGCAGTTTGTTGCAACTATTTGACCTTGCCGTTGTAGCACAAAAGCAGCTATAGAGAATACAAATATGGTGAACTTTTTATGTTCTAATAAAACTTTATGGGCACTGACATTTAAATTACATCTAAGTTTTGGTCCAACAAGTTTGCTCACACCTGCAAGCCCAGCACTTTGGGATTCTGAGTCTGGCAGATCACTTGAGCTCAGGAGTTCCAGACCAAAGCCTGGAGGTGCACACCTGTGATCCCAGCTACTATGGGGGCTGAGGCACGAGAATCACTTGAATTCAGGAGGTAGAGGTTGCAGTGAATGAAGATTGCACCACTACACTCCAGCCTGGATGACAGAGTGCATGAGACTTTGTCTTAAAGTAAAATAATAAAATAAAATAAATAACATATAATTGTCATGTGTCATAAAAAGTTCATTTAATTTTTAAATAATTTAAAAATATATGAACACCATTCTTACATTGAGACATAAAAAAACAAACAAACAACAAAAAATGAAAAACAGAGATGTCAGCCTACTTAGCTCACAGCCTGTAGTTTCCAGACCTCTGATCTAGACTTACCACTCAGGATTACCATGGTAGACATTGGCTAGCTCTCAGGACTGGAGGTGACATAGAGTGAATCAGGCAAAACCACCACACGAAGAGGTAGAAGAGCACAAGCTTAGGCATTTAGTCCATAATGAGAATGTGGACACACTATTAGTATTTTGCACTAAAGAAAAACAAAGGCAAATTTTGATTTCTGCTAATATCCTGAGCTTGAAAATCCCTTGCCTCTAATTTTTTTGCATCCAGTATGTTTGAGTTTAGAATGCCTGTTTTATTTCCTTCCCCTGCTCTTGGTTCTGTTGGTGAAAAAAAAGGGGAGAGGAGATGTCAATGTTTTTATAAGTTCTCAATTTCCATATCTGAACTGCTAGCATCAAAATGGTGATAGCAACAATTACAGAATATAACTAATTCTAAATGGAAAGAATGCTGACTCAAAATCAGACAGTCTATCTTCTGTCTGATTAAATATTTCATATTTATTATTAACCACCTGAGTGGAAAAAAATCACTTAAACTTTCCGGAGATAAGTTTACTTGTTTGTAAAAGGAGGATCTTGAAGACTTTTCCACAAATAAATGAATGATAGTTCCCCTTATTACAAACATCACCTTACTGAGAAGACCTAAGGCAAAGATAAACTTTTCCAGAAATGTAGGCAAATTATAGAAGAATACGTCAAAGTATAGAAAAGGCAGATTTAAGCAGTGATTTCACATTTGCATTTTTGTATTTATTTACTAAGTTTTATGGCAACAGGGAATTCAGTATAAATTCAATTGCAGTACTTTTTCTTCTGTTTATTTTTTCTGGAAGCATTCATACATTAAGCCAGTTAAAGGGCCTCTGGTTTACAATTCATTTCCTTGAAAGAAAAGAAAAGAAACACAATTTTACAAAATCTCTGAATTAAGACTTCAAACCTGCAGATGGTGCTATGATCCCATGTTGAAATTGTGTTACTTTTAGTTTAAATCCATAAGAGAAAATGCAGTTCTTTGATTGAGTTACTTTTATTCAGAGGTAATAAAATTGAATTATTTCTTTTTATTTTAGTTTATTATTATTATAATAGACGCAATTGTCTTTTCTATTGGGAAAGGTACTGTAGTTACTCTTTGTGAATGCCAAGGGCTTGCTTAGGCCGAATAATAATCAGCTTTACATCTGTTTTGTTTAAAATTTTTCTTCTTATCATTCAGCAGTGATTTGTCTGTGACCCTCAATTAAATTGCTTTGCTGTTGCTGCTCTTAAATAAAATTGGTTCACTAAGAATTGGGTGATGAAGAGATAAGGATAAAAAATACCATATGAGAACCACTTCAACCTCTAGTTTGTAATAATCAGGTGAAAAAAGATTTCCTGGAATTAAGCCACAGGAACTCTGGCTTAAGTCAGAGCTGTCAACTGGGAAACGAATTTCCAGACATTTTGAAATGTAATTCATTTAATTTTTCTGGTAACTGGATTAGAAAATACGATTAAGCATAGCAGGATATTCTTTTACTGGATCAGTCTGACTTTGAATGAAGCAAATAGATGCTAACATCTTCAAGTAGAAGAAAGAGGACTGTAAAGCTGTTCTTCCTTATGGAACTTACAAACAAAATATAAAAATAATACACATGCCAGAAATTCTTTAAAATAAAAGGAAAAAAAAGCATTTCACTCTGTTGTGTAGAACATTTTTCATGTGGCTTCATTTTCACCTTTAACTTTGATTGAATGTGTGCTAGGCTACCTTTAGTTAAAAATCCACAAATAGAAGTGAAGTATTTATCAAAGTACCCTATAAATGCTTTTCAACTAATTCTTTGAACCCACCTGTCAAGTGATTGAATCAGAAATAATCAAAAGTGGTGTGAGTATGTGTGTGTGTTGGGGGTGAGGGTAAAAAACTAATTCTACATTATCCAAAGACTTATAAAAAAATGATGAGGAAAACCTTTAAAAAGAAATTAGATTTCTTAAGGTATATGGTCTGACAATTTATTTTTTTTGGATCATTTGACACAGTGTATGTAAAAAAGCATTGGGAATTATGCCATTTTTTACAAATATGAAATAGCACTACTTCTACTGCTTTCTACAACAGTGCACATATCTTACTATGTTAAAGACTTTCTGAAATATTTATCCTGGGATTAGTTTCAACAAAAAGGAAATGTAATTCTAGAAAGGTGAAAAATTATCTCTAGGACTTCTAAAATTAGGATAGATTTCAAGAAAGATTAAATCTGGATCTATATGAATAGCATAAAAATTAAAAAGGATTAAGAGAATTGCTACCTCATAATAAAGTATAATTGTACATTTATAAGCATAATGCACATAAGTGTTTGTTGCTTTCT